TCAGAAGGTCATTTCTGAAACTTAATATTAGCCTGCTTTATCCTTTTCAGAGGTAGTTTTAATATGATTGTGATCATTATCCTGTTGGAAAAGCCAACTGTGTCCAAGTTTCAAACATCTAGCTGTTAATATGAGGTGAAATTGGAGAATCTGGAGGTAGTCCAAATTCTTCACTATTCCATCCAACATTTGCAATGCACCAGGATGCACAGGAAGAAAAACGTCACCGCCACTGAGAATCAGTTGACTTTGTGCTTTAATGTGCTTCTGATCTGTAAAAAAAGGAGTTTGTTTTATATGCAGCATGCTAGATCAAGACCAAAATGCAAACATGAAATGTAACGAGCAAAGTCACCTTCACGCTTCTGACCGGTTATATTTGTACAACAAAAACAAGTGATGCTGGTGTTTTTAACCACATCTAATCTACTTATTTGTTTCTCCACACTAATGTCAGCATATCCTGGTAGATTGTTTTCGATAAACTGGCTGTGCTCATGAATCAGAGTAATTATAACAGATGACAGGTGGGGTTGGCCAATCCTATTTGTGCCTTTTTTTTGGATTGTGGCCTCACGCTGATGGAGATGAGTAATGTGTGATTATTGCTCACATCAACAGGGTTATAATTAACAGAGCTTTGTACAGTCACATCCGTCCCTGAGCAAATCTGCCACTTCCAGAAGTTTCTCTTAATCCTTGTTCATGATGATTCTGAACCGTTACGGTTTTAATCGCAGTATGAGAAAAAAATGAGTTAGTCAGGTTGAAAGTAAAACACAGAAAACATTTCTTTTGGGAAATGAAATGTTATGAAAATGTATTGCTAACATAATCAGTTCTGTAAATCTGCATTTCTGGTTGTTTGCTCTAATCCTACTGATTAAGATGCTATGTGAGAAGGACATGCAGTTATTTAAATATGCTGAAGGTGCAAAGTATATTAGAAGTCAGAGTAAGTTCATTTTTTTAAATATCCCCCAGAGTCCCTCCCCTGCTCCTCCCTCATTAAGAAGGTTTCTGAAGCTGTAAGTACTGCATACAAAATCATCCATTATCTCTGGGGATTTTCACAGCTGATGGGAGCAAACATGTCTCGTGTGGAAGTGCGGTCAGACAGCTGTGTCAGAAGTTTAAAACTTAATTGATTGCTTCAAAGTATAATCAGTGATGTCCATGGTCTTTTTTTGTACTGGAGGGAGTTAAACAGGGAAGCTTTCATGGTCATTCACCATTTATATGCTATACAGTACAATAAGAAAACTCATTTTTCCCCCATTACAAACTCCACAGATTTGAAGGCAGTTCTATTCGATCTACTCAAAGTGGTGCATAAATTGTAGATTAGATTTATCTTTTTTTAACATAAAAATCAGAAAGGTGCGGTACAGCCTTTCCTGCTCTGATACCAGCACATATATAGTTCAGTCAGTTTCTATTTTACAAAGACCAATGGAGATATTGTCCCTCTCCAGATGTACGAAGTTGTTCGAGGCATACTCCTAAATACCCAACACTGTGAATACCAAATGTGATTCTACAAAGAATCGACTCAGCACAGTTGGATTCATATGCATAGATAGTGTTTTAGTTCTTCACACAAACAAGCAACTGAAAACTTAACTGTTTATTGGTTTTGGGTCCTTTGTTCACATACGTCACTTCTCAGGTGCAGCTACTCTATTGCTTGTTAACACAAACAACAATTAAGCCAATTATATGCCAGCAACTCAAATTTAGAGTGTTGTCCATATTAAAGGCTGACACTGATTTAA